GCACAAATCAATACAGCTCGCAGAAATTCACCGTAATAGCATAAACATCTAACTACAGTAAGTACGTTCCCGGTTGATTTCCTCGTTCACCTCAGTTCTGGTCTTCAGGTTTGTAACGGTGGGATACCAAAATCCAATGGAACGATTTTCAAAGTGAACCTTTTAGAAAAGTATATCCCACATTGGGTAATTAACTTTCGACTACAACCACAAACAAACATAACAACCAATGAAGACGGCAGAAAGTGAATAACACGTGTGATAATGATAAAAGCCTTGAGGAAGGAAAATGTCTTGAGTGAGGATACTTCAGTTGTATCTCTACGATCACATTCAACAATGCAAGAGTACAAGACATGGTGTTTATTTTGACGAATATTTGCAGTGACCATTGTTGTGTAAACTTACGGTTGTATTCCACTGGATCGTAGATGAAAGAATATCTCTGGTTCTCTCCACTGCAACAGTCGTTCAAAAAGTAAACACAGTCCAAGTATTCCCTGTGATCGAATTCATAACCGGTCCTGAGAACCAGTCCAAACTTACACTTAGATCGTTCGAAATGGTGTGCAGTTTGTAGAAATAGCGGATATACAACTGCCGAAATATCACATACAGTGTCACCGGGTCATCGTACAAGTAGCATAGGGGTAGCACTGAAAAACAACGAGAAACATGGGCGAAGCCGTATTGAGACCCAGCAGAAAGAAAAAAACGGGATAGAACTAAACAAAACTGGGAACAGAGTCACGCATACGTACCGTACATTGAAAATCCGTGGAATGGTATAACACCAGATGGCGGAAATATCTGAGAACTGGTTGCTTTTTTACCGATGGCTCTTGGAGGAGTGGCCAAAGAAGACTGGAAATGTTCCAGAACAGTTGAATCTCTCGTGAACGGGAGCAATACCTAGATGAGTCAGAGAGGATTGGTGCACTGAGATGGTGAATGCGCGCATCTAATTTATCCATGAGCTTTTTATAAATCAACCAAAATTACCCATTCTTCGGAAACCCGTTAAAATTTTTAATCATGTTATACCCATGAGATCTAACAATTTTGAACAATAAACCGGCAATTTTATTTAAAGTAAAGATTTTGTTTGACCAATAGCATCTCACCTTATTTGGAAAATAACTAATCATGTTTCAGTTTCAGTTTTTACAACCATTACCCATGCACTTTCGCGTGCCGGTTTTGGTTGCTGTCTTTTGGTGCCCCATTCGGATAGAAGGGCAGAATGATATACTATATATCTATATATAACATAATGTAGTATAATATATAGTCCTTACAATGGATTTTGCAAAAGTTATGATGACCAAGTGAATAATATTCTGACGCAGCCATTCCGGTCATTCTAACTCATGGTCAAAGTATCGATCAGTCAAACAGTATTTTGTCAGTTCCAGTACTTGCCGGGAGAAATAAAAACCCTCTTTTTGAACGTGTGAGTACAAAAGGAGAGTGAAACATAAAACATTTACAACAGTTTTATTTGGAACATTCTAAACAACTTTTGTTTTCCATGCATTGTCTGTTCGAATTCACAGATATCGTAAACTGTTTACTGCCTCCAGTGGCCATGTAGCCCAGGATTAAAAGCTTCAACTAACAAGCAAAGCGTTCGCATCTCGCCCAAGGGACACGAACGTTCTAACCGTCACTGATGAATGTCACAGCTGTCCAGCGTGATGTGTTGACCATCCGAAATAAAATTCAACCCAATGTTAGATTATTCTCACATTTCGAAACACACCTGATGCAGATCAATCCTCCCCTCAGTCTGATAATGGCCCAGGTGAGCGAACATAATCAACTATTGACGACCTATGAACCAACCCACTCAGTTGTCAGATATATTCGGTAGTATGGTTACGTGTCTCAAACAAGGGTGTTCATCGAAGTGTGGTGTTCCCAGGCGTATTTCGGGTTGCGCACTATCTTTACCTTTCCAGCGCTCAGGTTTTCATTTATTCTCACTCATTTTCATTGCTCGAACAGGTGGAAAAACAAAAAACAGCAACCAGAACCGAAACACAGAATTATGGCATTAGTGATTGCAACAAACTGGAAGTGCATTCACCTACATCTTACAAGCACCGTTCTCTGTTGGATAAAATGAATTGCATCACGTTTTCACGTAATTTTGGCTTGACGATAAATTTTATCCAACTGATTATTTAAGGAAGGGGGATAAATCAACGTTTGCATAAAAGTCCGCTCTTATGCATGAAAAATTGGTGTAATTTGCTTGTTCCTTCATTTGCGGAGAGAAAACTATGTACGTGTAGGGGGGCAGGGCAGGTGAACCAATTTTTACATTATGAAGTGACTGATTGCTTTCACTGTGGACACTTTCGGAAACGCGCAAAGAAAAACTTGGTAAGTGTCGAAATTTCCAGGGAATTGTTTTATCTTCTTTGAATTGCCCGAAAGGTACAGAAAACGCATTGGTTGTGAAGAAGATAGAGAATAATTGCAATGAAAGAATTTTTCACATCTCTTCATTAACCTTTATTAGACTTTGAATATTGGACCGATTCGGGCCAATTATCAATAGCCTAAATATTCCTGAACGATAGATCTCTCCGTCTGGTGACATATCGTGTTATAACTCCTGATTCACTGGGATTGTTATTCAGTTTCATTGTGACTACATTACGACTTTAATTGAAACAGAACAGACAATTCATAGTATTGAATAATGCACGAATAATGGACAACAAGCCTAGGCCTACACACATCTTGTTGTTTCTTAACTGACTGAAGTTCTTCAAAATCAAGAACTCGTTTCATACGGTCCGATCCCAATTCTAATTTCGTTTTTATCGTTGTAGTAGTAGTTGTTGTTGCCACATTTATTATTTTGATTGTACTGTTTATGCTCTGTATTGCACCCCGTTTTTGATACGCGTATGACTGTTGGAAATTCATCTTTCGAAATGCCAAAAAAGAGCTTTGTATGACTTAAATTCTGAGTGAGACGGTTGTTTCTAATAGAATTGCAAATACAATCGTATCAGGGAACCTTCACGAAGAGCGCGGAGTTAAGTCGACCAAGCACTGCCTGATGAAGCAAAATACATCAGCGTTAACGCGCTTCGCGCCCTCAACACCAAATCGATAAGATAATGACTTTAATTAATCAAACATCACAGACCAAGTTACTAACCAGAAACAGGCTGTAGTTTACAGTTCGATGCAATCCAAAAACGGATTATTGGAAAAATAAAACATTAAAACGAACGTAGTCTACATACCTGATAAGTGTAATCACAGAACACAAAGTGCATGTCATCATTGGATGCAGTTAGTTGTACTTCCTGTGAACAGCGAGGTTATCGACGAAATGGGATAGTTACCTTACAAACAAGAAGATCGGTCATGCATTCATCCTCGGCCACACGCAATTTCAACTGGTTGTAGTATTGTACATCCTGAAATGGAAAAGTAAATGAAATCAATGTTTATCACTTTGGGATCCAATGGATCATTTTGGTTCACCGTGTCTTATTCACAACAGTACGAAGAATTGTTGTCGTAGTGAGGAGGAAATCCTTTCATAAATAGCACCTAAGATTGATTTAGAATAAAAAAATACAATGCTATCAGATCACACCTTCCAATATTGTCTCTTGATTTAACCCATTTGATTCTTTCTACACACTGTTAATGGTCTCGGTTGCGGGTCTCACAGGTTAGAAGTTCAATAATTTCGAGAATGTTAAATATATTGATTTGCAATAAAAAGCTCTATGGTAACTGGTCGCTTTTTGTGATCTTTCTTTCAACTCATGGTTATACTCGTGCCGATTTGTACAGATTGATATTATATATATATATATGTATATATATATATATATAATTGAACAGCTTTTTCATCTTTGTAGAATTTATTTAGCAATATATTGTTTTTATATCCAAGGCGGGACACAAACCGCGAACTTTCGGGCTCAAAATCGAAACCCTTGCCCCCGAGCTACACCAGACCTGATGTGTGAAAACAATCGAATGAGCTAAAAAAATAAAATACAACACATTAAACCGATTGATCCATTCGGTCAACATGTTGGCCATTGGCTGTATAACCCAGGGGCAAACATTTTTGACTGTAAGCCCTAAGGTGCAAATATCGGCACGGACACAAAAAGCACCTACTAACTAACGAGGTACAACGGGGGGAAGAGATCGCTTCCCCGTTGCTCCTTCTCAGCTATCACAGAGATTTCTATAGCATATAAAATGCGTTCGAAAGCTTACAAGTTATATTCTGATGGTAGTTTGATCATTGTTGCGTTGGGCGCTATTACCAATTAATTTCGCTTTCTTTACTTTTCTTCTTTATAAGCTAATTTCCTTTTTCCGGATTAAATATTTTTTTATTTATGTACAAAAACTCTCATTTTTTATTTTTTCGCTAGCAACTATGTTGATGAAATGATAGTTGAGTATGTTTTTATTGGACTTGCCAGTTTCCGTTAATTCCAAGTCTACCCTAATCAGTATTTTAGCTATTCTGTGTCCGGTACACTTATGCATAGTGCCGGCAGCTGTTGGTGTTCCTTTTGTTGTCAAAACAAGCAAATCATGGAACGTTTTTCTTTTTACATAAAAATTATTGTACCATGATTAGTTTGGTGTATAGTCTGGATTTAGACGTGAAAAAATACAAATACAAAACAGGTTCACATTTTCTCAATCTTTTGAGTTCCCTGCCAGAACTTCCAGTTAATTATGCTATCCTGCTTAAGTAACTGAGTACCTGGGATCAATTTTATCATACAACCCATCCCGTTGCAACGACGTAAAGTCTCACTGAAGTTGAAAAGTCGTGTACACTGCGCCACTGAACGATCAGTTCTGCCTTACGGTTGTGAGACCTTGAATTTGCGGGTAGAAGACATCTATCGCCCAGAGGTTTTCTACAATCGGTACATATGTAGTCTGGCCCAGGTGGCATGGAGTGAGCGGGTTAGTAACCCTAGAAGTAAGTCGTCGAGTGTTTGGGAATGCATCGAACAGGAGCTCGCTATTGCATCGAATTCAGCTCAATAGGCTTCGTTGGTTGGTATACGCTTTGCGTATGTCCGACGGTCACCTAGTGCACCGCGCCTTAATTGCAGTGGCCGCTACAGACTCAAGAAACCTACGTGGAGTTTAGCAGATGATGTGGAGATGAGGTATGAAGAAATGAACAGAGCGACTAAGTAGAGTAGATGTCTCAATTTCCGGGTTGTGGTCCAAAGGATTCCGTAACTGGATGGTTGGAGACACTGAAGGTCGTGGCAGCAAACTGACAGCAGTGTCGATCTTGCCATCAATTCTTATCAGACCAGAATGCTGGAAATAATGCACATGCACAGCTAGACTGTATATTCTGTGCTGACCATAGAGGTTCGCTTTATTTTCCCGTCCTTAAAAACTGGCCCAATCCCTATCCTCGTCACACATTGTCGCTTCCCTTGTATGCCTAATGAGTTCGGCAGCGATCAGTGAAGTTCTTTTCACTGTATTATGCTGTACAATCGTAATGAATGATGATACAACCTATCCTGGTCACAAATTGTCGAAAACTTTACATTAGGTCTCCTATTCTGTCGTTTTAAGCTTTCAGGCGAAAATAGCTTGGTATCCCAGCGAATAAATTGTGGGAGTTTGCATTCTTCCACGTTGGGTATACAGCTCCCGCTATCGTCCCAGGTCCGAAAAAGATCCTCGTTTCCAGATCTATCAAGCTATTTCCCCGCTCCAGCGATATACCTAAGAGTGTCCAAGCGTGATTTCATGGTGTGCAAGTATTTGGTTCCCTGTCACTTAATTATATCGGCAGACGCTAAACCGAAACAAGTGCTGTCTGTCTTTACAATTGGACATAGGTTTTCAGTGTCTCCGAATCATTTCACCAGTTTCGTATCAAACACAGTGAGTTAAAACATGATGCTTCGCATTTTGACATTTTGCCCGTGCATTATTTATTTCAAGCATTTCATATCGACCTCTGTTCGCAGAACAATGAGTGAGACATTTTTCAGAACCTCAGTCAAACTCTTACTTCATCACTTTTCTGAGCGTTCAGATACAATGACCAAATTTGTGCACGATATCCAAGGGGACATCCTTGCTGCAGATATACCTGTGCCGCGGCAGAAGACTGACTCTGAAGTACTAAATGAGATGAAGAAAAAGGAAGATAAACGGAACCGGGAACACTGTGATCTCACTGTTTTCCGCCTCTCGTTCACGTTTTGCTTCAAAGCTAGCCGAAAATAGTTCATCCACACCACACTGCGGCCGGTCCAGACCAAGTGGGGCGTAAAAAACACACTGAAAATTGGGTCATTCCACATGTTTAGATTTACCAATTCTGATAGATTTTTAACACGCATAGGCAGGTTAAACAGACCCCAATATGGAATCGATCGCCCGCCAGTACTAAATGAATAAGTATACACTTTTAAAAGAAAAACAAATGGGGGCAAATTACTCCTCTGCTGCTGTTCTGGGTTGATATCGGACATTCGGATGCTTAATGGAAATCAAAACTTCCAGCAAATCTTTTGGTCCAAATACAGGTTTTATTGTGGACGGTTCTAAAGGGAATGATGTCACTGAGGGGATTCACAACGGAACGCACTGTTGAAAACTAACGAAAGTTCTGTCCAGTTGACAAGTATCGCCTCGCTTTGTTTCGTATCACGCTAAATTCTAGGAGTTATATTTTGAGGAAGCGCCCACGACTTACCGCACCAGCCAAACGAATTCCCAATTCTTGACACATCGAATTCAGACTCCGTAACATTTTTCTTTCCCAACCGGCCTACAAAACCGCGAAATTTACCGACGACATTTTCAGCCTTACCTGAGCTTTTTCCAGATATGCCCAGCTTCCAAACGTGGAAGGCTCGGACAAAGACCATTCAAATTTCAGTCTTGTACCGACTTTTTGTTTCTCGTGAAAAACCCAATTGCGCAGTGTCTGAATACTCTCGGAGTTAGAAAGTGTTTTGATAATAAATTCCTGGATGTCTTCTGGTGTTTTATTCAGTCCACGAATTGCTCGCTTAGGAAAGTAAGAACAGAAATGAAAATAACGCACAAATTAGAAACTAAAAGCTTCCAAAATAGTAACCAATTTCAATATTTTCATAAAAGATTTTTCGTCCAAGGGAATCGGAGAATTATCTTATCAGCCTGTCACCGCTTTTTTAGTTTTCTGTGTTAAGATTATTCTAATTCTCTATCCCGATGTTATGGTGAAACTCTTCCTATTTCTTACTGGGTTGGTAGCGTTTAGGAACACTAAGAGAAACGATTTTTAATATTTAAATACATAGAGATAAATGAAAAGATCTCCCAATAGATCCAATCGACAAAAATAGTCATTGTAAGTATGCAGCTCAGGAAACCACAGTAAACTCCATTTCAGTTGTGTACCAAAGCCTGATTTCATTGACAAAAAAAGATATTTCCGTGTACGCGTTTTTATTCACAAACCTAGCACGGTTACCTATTTTTGAAGTGTTTATATTGGCTTGGACATGGTTTTTTCTACACAAATACAGCATATTTCATCAGGGTGTTCTAGATATTCTTGATTTCAGATTAAAAACCCGGTCTTTTCCGATCCGGAACCAACTACCAATTCGGGATTTATATTGACAGTAAGTCTGTTTGAATCTATTTGCCATTCGTTTGTTTGTTTTCTTTTGTTCGGATTGACGGAGACTTCCTGGTCAATTCCGGATCGGACCAAACCGGGTTTTGAATCCTGATGCGGATGCCGAATTTACCGAGAAAATGGAATCGAATGCTCCATATTTGGACTCGAAAAATTGCCCGATTAAACTTAAAAACGGGCAGAAAGGCAAGAAGAGACAATTAAAGGATCAATGATTGAGAATGTATTTTCGATAGCCCTTTAGCCCAAGAAAAAAACGAGTAGCAAGAGTGATTCATACTTTATCCGTGTATGGAAGTAGAAAATGGTGAAGCGGGAGTGTGAAAAAGCACGGAGCATGTAAAAGGAAGCCAACAGTTATTTCTAATGTGTCTGAGACCAGAGAGTTGTCATATGTGACATCTGAAACCGGAGAGCAGATGAATGTACATGGAGAAGTAAAAACAAAATACGACGCCAAACTGAGATTGAATTCACCTAATTACGGAAATAGATCGTAATGGTTTATTTAAGAAAGAAATAAGCAAATGAGCAGTTTTGGATGTGCTAACTACCAGACAAGCAAACAAACCGTCGTGATGGACGTTCATCGATGCGTAGAGATGAGAAAGTTCGCCAGTATACAGATTGATGTGACAAGATAAAGTGGATAAAACAGGGAACAATCAACAGCAGCATGAATAACAAAGGTATGGATAGGATCAGAAGTAGAAGGGTAAATGTCGTCAAAGAACAACAGCGAGGTGAATTGCGCGGAAGCCAGCAGATACGTGGCACGTGCATGAGACAGCTTATACAAACTTGATTACAAGTTTTTGGAACAGACAGAACTACAAGTTTAGTCAATAAACTACTTTAATTCGAACAATGATGTTTGGATTTTTAGCTGCTGTACAATCACTCTTCTGTAGTAAACATGGGAAGGTAGAGACAAAAAGCATAGTAAAACTCTGTATGAATAAACAATCAGGCAAATTCAGTAAAGTTTGACTTAAAGGCTTTCGATGATACGAACAGTTAGTGAGAAATCGTGCACGGTACAATATTACAGAAGACAAGCATGTTGCAGAGCGTCCTGATATATTCTTTCACTTGGAGCGAGTGATGTACACACAGATACATTTGCTAAAATGTGAATGAATAGGGTGAGATGTGTCTACTAGTATTTTGGTGGAAAGTTTCGGGTTAGAAATAAAGTGCTTTGAAATTAAAAACTGTATAATAAGTTCGCAAGATACGTCACTGTATCGAACTACGTGTTTGATGGATCTATGTATGAGTTTGAAGTTTTTGATAAGAAGAACAGGAAATTTAAGTGTGGATACATAAAGCCTGTTGGGAAGGGCACAAGAGAAGACACCATGTTTTATTGAAGGGATCGAGTTATATATTACTTTCAAATGAATAAAATAAAAGATCAGTTTCTCAAGTATATGAAATGTCTCGGTGACATCGGAAGACCAAGAAAGATCACGGGAAATACTAACTCCGTGTTATTTAATAGATCCTATTCTGAAAGCTTATATTCGTCGATGACGACACGCGGTCTAGAATTCATTAAATCCATGTATTTGTCACCATTTACGCAAAGAAAATAAGACAAGGTAAGAAATAGAGACAGTTGAAGAGATCCGTAACAAGGTTATAATGTAGAGACCAGTTAGTGAGCAACGAACAGTTCTGCATAATTTTGGGGTACACGGAGTAATTTGAAAACTTTATATGATATGCAGAACCATCGGCATACTTATTGAGCAAACGATCAACAAAAGCATGCATGGAAGGAACATAGATTGAGACTAGGGAGAAGAACTCCTGGAGTGGATGGTACAAGCAAAGAGTTGTAGTTCTTATATTTAGTAAACTGCGGTCGATAGGGGAAATTACTTGCGGCTGAATACCCCTTTCAGAAAAAAAGTATGAAGAATTTCTATCCTGTCGACACAATTGGAGGTGACACTGTAGTCAAAGAAACACAACCGAAAAGCTTTACTTTTTATATCCAAATAACAAAGAACAGAAAAAACCGAGTGCATCAAACGTTGATCGGGACCAACGATAGGCAAAATGAGTGGGACCAATTGCATCTGGGAGGCAATCTTCTGTAAAAAATCCTTTCTGAGACTTTAAAACCAAACATAAGTGCAAGCAATCGGGCGACTTTCAGGTATACCTTTCTACGGCACTGGTCTGATAAAAGCCACTGTCCAGCGATCCGGAATACAATACTGAGTAGAGCAAAGATTGGGAAGGTCAGTAAAACCAGGGGTGACAGACACTGCACGTTATTGGATCACGAAAAGTGGCAGTCGGTCAGGACTGCACACTTGATTTGACTGCAGACTGGTGAAGGTTTTGAAAACTTTTGTTTGAACTGAAATTAAATTTATAGCATTGAGAACTGGGACGATTGCTGTGCATGCAGCATTACTGAAATGGCGATTGAGATCATCCAAGCGGGCAGCTGGCAGATCCTCCTTTGGTTCGAGGTCGCTAAACTGAAACAATATTTTCCATGCATCGCGACAGTTCCGGTTGGCCAAAAGTGCACGTTCATAATTGGCGTTTATTCTCCGCAGTTATCGAGTGATAGACTTCCAGAGATCTCTCACCAACAAGCGCTTTTTGGCTTTAAAGGCGTTTTCTATTTTCCGACTTGATTGTTTAGGCGAAGGATAGGAGAAACGATCTGACCATATACCTATAAGATTCTCCACGAGCAGTACTTATCATAGCAAACTTCAGACATTCAGTAAGGGTATCACAAAATACCGATAGAAAACTAGGTAAAAACAGAGGAATCAGTCTGATCGAACGTAACACCGGGCCTGACTATGTTTCTGTGCTGACATTACCACGGACGAAGTCAACGATCACGATTCCGAGTGGATTAACTGTTTAAGGTCCACACAAAATTCAAAAAATGTGAGTTTTCCAGTCAATGTTTCCACAACACTAACTCAAGGTTTCTTGATGGAACACTGAATGTAATATGAACGTACCGCTTGATACAGAGGATAAAATGTTTCATTATATATATTTTTCATTCTCATATATTGGATAAACCAAATATACGAAATATGGATGGGTGTTGCACATGAGGTTATGATGGCGAAAATATCTTTGCAAGCATAATGAAAGGTGCTGAAGTTAATCCACTACGAGTTGCTTCAAAAACATTTTTCTCGTATAATTTGTATATGGAATTGAGCTCGATCGCTTTTCTATTCATTGAAAACTTGAAAACGATTATAGCCTACATGTCTGGCAGATTCACCAGAGCTCTTTAATATGAGCACAAATATCAGACAGAAACGGCTCTCCCGCTATCCGATGCCACGAATTTGAGGCATCACTTTTGAAAAAAATCAACAAAAGATCGGCAATGTGCAGTACAAATTATAACCTAGATTTCCTGTCCATATTTCAAATTATTTATCTGTGGAAAGTTCCACCCGACTTGAGTCAAACTGGATCCTTGATAGCAAAAACGCTCCTAGAAATCGACTCAAAACCCTCCAGACTGCGAATTCCGAATGTGAGCGTAGGAGCAGTTGTTACATTGCTGAACACTGCAAACTATCCTGCCATAACATATAAGCATACGTGGCAGACTGCAACACAACCGGAGGCTGACACTGAGATTAAAATGCATGACACACTCAGTTTGACGCGGTCCGGTTAGACTCCATTGCTGTGCCGTAGCTTCCACCTATCCCTATCGGCGTTAATGAAATAGAGATGATGCGAGATCGCATTCGGGGCGGCACCGTGATATGGGTTTCTGGCTATATAGTCTCAGAGGAAAGCATTTCAGTCCTTTTCGACGTTTGGCGTCACAGAAGGTTGAATTAGAAATCATTTGATCTAAATCAAATGCAACTGGAATTTAAATTGATCCAGGTAGCACGAGTGTTCTCGCGAGCGTACAAAAAGGATACCTTTGCAGGAGCACACTCAGAGGCTGTTCAGAAGCGTCCTCTGACTGTCCCCCTTTAAGGGCTACCGGCCGCGAACATTTGACGATTGCTCATGAGCTGTGAACTCTTTTATTTTATTGGACACGATATCCTTGTACATTCCGGATTTCCGCTTATTACAGTTCCATTCCGAGGTTGAGTTCCGTGTTCTTATTTTGTTTCGAGTCCAAGTTCTGGATCGGACTATTAATGCGCGGAATCCGATACGTATACGAATTATTAGTCCGAGTGCTAACCACAGCAACTGGCGTTGCGGTCATTTTGAACCAATGGAGTCCTGTAATTTGGAGAACTTGAATATACATGCCAGTCCGCGCGAAGTCAAAGATTATCTTGAACGATTCGAGATTTGGTGTATTACGCGGAAAGGAATCGATGGAGGACGCAAAGCGGCTAATTTCCTAACGGTCATCGGAAAGGATACATACTCATTGTTGAAGAATTTGGCGTTTCCTGACTCCCCTATATCGCTATCGTATGAATCCCTGAAAACATTGCTGCTGAAGCATCTACAGCCGGCTAATTTCAAATCTGCTGAACGAGCCAAATTTCATTCACTCAAAAATGATGGAAGCCAACCTGTACGTGACTTCATTCTTCAGCTTCAGACTCAAGCATCTCGTTGCAACTTCGGAGATCAATTGCAAACCCAGCTACGTGATCGATTAATTGCTGGTATTAATTGCCCGGAATTACAGCAAAAGCTCCTGCTCCTGCACGATTGCACATTTCAGTCGGCTACGGCAGTCTGTGAACAGTACCAAGACGTTCTTGCCATTATTTATGATGAACCCAACTTGTTGTTCATTGCCAGTAATTCCAAACAGTCGCCATCCCGCCGAAAGCGGTTTTTCAAAAGGGGCTCGAAAACATCAAGCAACATCAGTTCTCCAGCCCACAATGACCAACGGATTCAACGATGGAATAAGTGCAATTCCTGTGGTCAAAGACATTCGCAGTTATCTTGTAGATTTTTTAATGCCAAGTTCCACAAATGCACTAAGCTTGGCCATATTCAATCTGTCTGTAAAAGTGCAAAGTCGCATCCCACAAAACGTACGGCTGTTTCTTCCTCTAAAGATTAATTGTGTGATTTACAGTCCTTAACTCTAGCCGGTACCAGTTCACGTCCCTCTCGTCACATTACTCTCGACTTCATCAGTAATGACTCCATGTGCCATACATTCATAATGGACACCGGCAGTGTTCTTTCATTTCCAACAAGGTATCTCGTCAGTTAAACCCCCCAGTTGCACTTTCCCCAACAGACATTCCAGTTAAGGAAATTACGGGCCATTCTTTGCCCGTCTTAGAATCATGCGAACTGCTTCTCGATAAATCACGATAAATCACAAACATTTCACTGCCCGTTTTTGGTTATTGATTCCGCTATTTCTATGATTGGTTTGAATTGCATGAATCGTACGCATGTCATTTTCATTCATGTCTGACTCCCATCAATCACACCTTCGTCATTTAGTACTTGAATGTTCCAAGGCAAAGGGTGGTATCAACATGACTCCTGTAAGTCTAGAAGTGACCGGTTCTCCGGTGTTTATGAAACGTCGGATTATCCCACTTGGACTTCGTGAGCCCGTAAAAAAGGCTTTAGATGAAATGGTAAGCAAGGGCGTTCTGACACCCGTAAATTCTTCGGCTTGGGCCACGCCCATTGTTACCACAACTAAAACGTGACGGGAAGACTCCTAGGGCATGTGGGGATTATTGAATTACTGTGCACAGACACCTGAAACAGTCTAGTTGTGCCACCGTCGAACCAGAAGACGTTCTGCTCCAACTTCATGGATTCAAATTTTCCTCTAGTCTAGACTTGAAAGATTATTTCTTCAAATTCCTGTTGATGAAAAGTCTTGTGAACTCACGAATGTTAACACACCTTTTGGTTTATTTCGCTATAACTTTCTGCCGTTTGGACTCAGTGTTTCTCCCGCTATTTTTCAAACTACTATTAATTCCATCATTTCTGGCTTACAAGGTATATGTGCCTATCACGTTGATATTATTGTCCATGCGCCTAGCAGATACTTACATAAGGAAAGTTTGTGTGCTTTGATTGAAAGATTTCGTTCTCCTAATGTCTCTATTAAGCCTGATAAATGTGCCTTTGCTACGACTAAACTTTCTTATTTAGGCTATTTGGTTGATGAATCCGGATTCCGTCCTAATCTTAATCCATTTTCTTCGTTGACTAACGCTCCATCTCCCAAGTTATTCCAGGAACTTCGTTCTTTAATTGGTTCTTTACAATAATATTCCAAATTTATTCCTAACTCTTCAACCCAAGCTGCTCCATTTTTCGATTTAGTCACAGCAAACATTTCGATGGACTTCGGTCCATGAACGTGCCTTGAGGAATTTACTTTCCCTTTTATCTACTAGTGCTGTTTTACGTCCTTTCTCCCCACAATTACATTCTACCGTCATCACGGACGCATCGCCCGTTGGAATTGGAGCTGTGTTGGAGCAGAATGGTCATCCGGTGCTGTGCATCTCACGCAGACTCACAGCTGCCGAACGTGGGTATTCTAAAACTCAAAGAGAAGCTCTAGCTGTCTATTGGGCTGTCACGCGTATGCATAAGTATCTTTATGGTACTCATTTCACTATTGTGAGTGATCATGAAGCCCTGCAGTTCATTTACAACCCTCAACGTTCTCTGGCTAAGTCATCTGCAGCCATGGTACAACGATGGAGTATTGCGTCATCCGCCTATTCCAACGACATCCATCATCGCAGCGCGCAGTCCATTCCACATGCATACTATCTATCACGCTACGCCACTTCAGAGGAGGCTTCTACGGCTGATTGTCTGCTCACTCAACCGCTCCCGGTAAGCCGATCTGATCTAGTTTGCGAGACCAGGAAATACTACCACGCCTACATTTCCTGTATCCGTCGAGGTTGGCGAGGTGCTATCAAGCGTCGATTTCCGGAATTCTACAAAACGTCGTGAGGAAATTTCTGTGACGTGTGATGGTGTCTTGTGCTACAATGATCGCATTGTCGTACCTCCAACATTACGTACTGCTGTTCTCAATGACTTACATTCCTGTCATCTTGACATTGAAAAGATGAAATCTCTTGCTCGTCTCACATACTGGTGGCCTGAATTGAATCACGATCTGAATCGTGTTGCAAACTCCTGTGCTGAATGTGTGCACAAAACTCACAGACAACTTTCAAAACGGACTCCGTGGCTAGTATCTTCCGAATCACGGCAAATAATATATGTGAATTACTGTGGTCCATTCTTCAACAAGTATTACGTATTAGTGATCGTCGATTCCTATTCCCGTTGGCCGGGAGTGTACTTTACTACTTTGCCCAGTTCAGAATTTACTATTCGAGCACCCAGGAAAACGTTCAGTAGAGAAGGTGTCCCGCACGCTATCGTGACTGACAATAGAACTGCCAAAAAAGTTACCGATTGGTTGAACTCCGTAAGTTGTCCGACATCCGCAATCCAAAGGCGCAGCTAAAAACTTTGTGCGCACGCTGAAGAGTGCCATTGCTTCCCTGAATCCCAGTACATGCGATGCACTGGATAGACGTTGATAACCTTCTGATGCAATACCGTAACGCAGTACATTCAACTACGGGACACAGTCCAGCAAAGCTGCTCAAGAGTCGAATACTTCGAACAAATCTACACTTGGAGTCTGCGGAAGTCGTGAATTATATCCCAGTACAAATGTCGAAAACAGTACAGAAGAACTCAGAAGATCTGAACGATTACTCATCAAAGCCCGCCGTGATTACAGGAAACCTGAGTTTCATTCAAGTTGCGGCGGATGTGGTGATTGCACATGAGCTGTGAACTCTTTTATTTTATTGGACACGATATCCTTGTACATTCCGGATTTCCGCTTATTACAGTTCCATTCCGAGGTTGAGTTCCGTGTTCTTATTTTGTTTCGAGTCCTAGTTCTGTGTTGGACTATTATTGCGCGGAATCCGATACGTATACGAATTATTAGTTCGAGTGCTAACCACAACACAACACCAAGACCCGAAGCTACTTAGACCCAAAATATTAGGTCTCACCTTATTAACTTAATACTTCTTTTTCACATAGTAACCATGATTATAACTTCTTCAGAAGTTACCCTTTCCGAACAGTGGACGGTTGACCGTCCTATCTGAGTCCTATTCGAGCCCCAACGGGACTACTCCGGTAACCACCGTCCCATTGGAGTCCCATACTAGTCCCATTGAAGGGATTCCCGTTTTTGGTGCAAACGAACTCCTAAGGGACTCAAATAAAACTCGTAATTGATTCGAATATGACTCGTATATACGAGTCTTATACAGCGGCCCGATATAGGACGGCTGTGAGGACTGGGTATATCATACATGGAAAACATATATCCCGACTCAAAACAAATCCAAAGTTTAAGCGTTTAGCAATCTAAACAACTGTTTATCGTTTGAAAAATTTTGAAATAAAATATAATTGGAAGTAATTTCGAAAACGACGACTATAATATATGATTGTCGCGATGACTCACCAAAACATCTTCGAGCAGTTTCATTTCAGTTGGTGTTGCTTTGATTTTCTTTAAAAGTTCGTCCGTTAGCTTTATAGTTTCTACATCTAACACTGCACACGAACGAACTGTAATCATTTTGAAAAATTTTGAAAACGGACCAAAGTGCGTTGTTATGATTTACGTTGAGGAGTGAATTATAACAGTTGCCTTGAAGTCTTGAAGTCATTCGAGGCTGTTGCCCGAAATTCCCCGGTCTTTGAAAGATATCTATGTTTTCTTCTGGTTCGATTTTTTTTCTAGAACAGAGAGCACTGAAAAGACAAAGCGCTAGAGCGCGAATTATCAGAAGTGTTGAAGTCTTGGCTTGAAGTGACTCACGGGTACGAGGCTGGCTCCCAATGGTCCCGGATCCTTGATGGTTTCTTCGTGGAGATGGCAACTTGAAAATCAGAGAAAACTGGAGGGGCATAATATCATGTCGCTCGGGGACTAACTATGCAAGTTAAACTGGCAAAATTATTAATAAATGTAACAATTTGCTATAGTGAATGAGGAAAGCCATAAATAACTAGAAGAGGGCTAAGGTAAACATAAAAGGTTAAAAAAAGCTTTTTTCATAAGTTCGGACTCAAGGGGAGGCAACTACACCTAGATAGTTATCAAGTCGAGACTTGAATGACGTTCTGTTTGTTAAAGAGACTGTCTATTCTGCGAATGCGTTCCAGCGTGAAAATACCCTGAAGGTGAAGAAACGTTTGCGAA